GGGGAGCCTGTTCAGTGCCCCAGCACCCTCTGGGGGAAGAACCTTTTCCTGATATCCACCCTAACCCTCCCCTGACACAGCTCCATTCCTTTTGCCATGTTCCCACCTTGCTCCTGCACAATGCTGTAATCACTGTCAGCAGGAACAGGATCATCTCTGTACAGTATTGAGATAAATTGTTAAAAACAGAGACAGGTACACATTGCAGTGAATTAACTTTGCCAGTGCACGGGATTTATTATGACTCCATGATACTCTTCTGTTTAAATTTCCAACTCCTGGAGAAATGTGGTGACCTAAGCAACTCACTCGTATTCTTTCAGTGAATCATCTGTGCTTGCTGTTGATGAGAAAGCTTAGAAGTGTAACAGGAGATGAATGAAAACTGAAAAATGTGAACAGAACTTAACTACTTCCTAAATCTCATTTTTCAGCCACTCCCGTAAATACTTGCAGCCTGAACTTTTGGCACTGGCAATATTTCTCGTGTTTTAAAGTGCAGGTTGTGGATCACAGTTTGACAAAATTAATGCAAAATTACTGGTGTAAATATGCAAAATTTAAGACTTGCAGTTTTGTAAGTGGTTTGTAATTTTAAAAAATTAATTTTAAAAACGTTTTTTAAAATATCATTATTCTACTGAGCTCTTACTGTAATTTAACTAATGTTTTCAGACATGTGACACCTGATAAAACTATTATTAAAGAATTTGAAGGGAAAACGAAAATTAGGATGATTGCAGATTTTTTTTTAATCTTTATTGATATTTCAATTCAGCTAGCAATTCTGCATACTATTTTCAAACCTTAATCTTGAATTAATTGAAAGGAGCCCCACTGTCAGTAGAATTCAGTTTCAGCTGTAAATATGTAGGACACAGAAAACCAAGTCCCTCTGAGGTATCACATTATGAACGGCTGGAAGCAAGGCACAAAAGTTGACCAGGCAGTTGAAAAACTCTGGCCCATAGTGAATTCTTGTTGCTATACTCTTTTAAAGTGCAGAGGGTTGAATATATTGATCCTATATTGCTCTTTCCAATTCAAGCCAGGTTTAACCCTAAAAGGACACCACATATCTGGAGACATCTTTGTAATTTCAACTCTGAGGCAGAAAATGCCTATTGTGATTGATGCCTTTTCCTGGAGGTAATTCCATCAATATTTGTAAAGTACTCAAGGGAAAGGGATAGTGAGTGTGACAGACAACCACAGGAAGGTGGCAATTGTCTCTCCTCACAGCAGGGTTCAGATGTGGATGGTGAGTTACAGGGCTGCACACTGTACCTGAGGATAAAACAAATCACAGGACCGTTAGGGTTGGAAAAAACCTCCAAAATCAGCAGTTCCAACCTTTTGCCCCTTTCACCACCTTGACACCCAGCCCAGAACACTGAGTGCCACATCCAGCCATTTTCTGAACACCTCCAGGGGTGGAGACTCCACCACCTCATGGGAAAATCCTGCCTGTCTGCCCACTGAACCAGCATGCAGGGGTGGAACTGGATGTTTCCTGTCTCCAGTCACTTCCCAGCCCTCAGTGTGCCTGCACTCAGCCACAATGGTATTGCTCTCCCCATAAAGCCTGTGGCTTATAGCTGTCTGGGAAGATCTACTTCCCCCTTTAAAAACAACACTTAATACTGACAAAGTGAGAATTTCTCTTCTTCATTTAAAAAAGTAACCTTTAGTGTTCTTACTATAATTTTCTAAAAAAATAAGGCTCAAAGAAACATTCCCTGGAAGGAAAAACTCACAAGTTTTCTAGATACAAATGTTGCACCCAAC